AGGGTGCCATTTATATTGCATGGCAAGGAAAGGCTTCTTGGCTGTGATACTTAAGTAAAAACCTGGAGGGGAGCGTAAGCCATAATGAATCAAGAATAGGGACTTGGTGGCAAAGATAACAACTTCCAAGCCCTCAGACAGAGAATGGTCAGCCCAGTATGGCAGGGAAGGACTGGAGAGGGGCAGAACAATTATCTTGACTGAGCCTACCTCCTGAGTAATTGCTGAGCTCAGCTGTATTGCTGGCACTGTTCACAATTAGAATTATCTTGTCTGATAATTGATATCTGAATGAGAACTTTATTCAGTCTTTCTATAACTTGCTGATCTCTGCTCTGATGCCCCACGTTGCTTGTAACCCAGGCTATGAAAGAACCCTATTTCTTTAGCTTAGAACTTTCTCCTCCCTTGTTCCTGCTGGCATAAGCTTTGACATCTTTGCGATTGAGCTAGACACTGCATTTTCTAGGAAGCCAACCCTGAGTGTCTCCAGTGGACTTAAGTGGCCTTCCTGAGCTTCCCTCTCATTTGCACTGAGTGCACTGCAATACAATCTCATGTTTAAGAACTCTCTTCCCTGTGATTGAGGTACCATAAAATCAAGGGCTGTGCCTATCTTATTCCCAGCTGGATCTCTTGGGTTGGGTTTGAGCAGGTCATTTTATGCATTTAATGCATAAATGAACTTGTGGGTGGATAGATGGCCAGATAGATGCCCAGATGGATGGAAGGAAAGAAGCATGCATGCTAGTGAAATTAGCTTCTAATCGAGTATGACACAAGGCACAGCTCAGTAAGACAAGCTTATACTATTGATGAAATATGGAGCATTGTACAAATTCTTCTATGGTGAAGATTTCATCAAAAAAAGTCCTCGAGGGAGAATATGTTATTAAAATTATAGAACTTTAAAATGGGAAGGGACCCTTTCACCACTTGGTTAAATGTCTTCAACTAACAACAAAAGGAAGCTGTGGACCAAAGAGATGAAGTAAGTTGCCAAAATCACCCTGTTCCTTAAGGATAGAGCTGAAAAATGGTAACCTGGTATTCAGAATATCAAAGATGCCTTAAGTAGACCATAAAGGTCTACTTCCAGGATCCCAGGATGCAAACACTGAAACATCTCATGAAATCAGTGCTGATAAAATCAGACTCTGGGCAGAGAGGCTACTATGCAAGTTTTTGGAGTTTGGTGTTTTTTAAATGTGATGCATTTTGTGGGAAGGAAAATTTTTATTTGATAGCTTCTGAGTCCGCAGGCAGCTGGATACTTTTAAAATAATTTTATTTTCTCACCGAAACACATAATGCTTGACCTGCTTGTTACATTTTTTCTTTCTATCCATGGAGTCATAAGATAGCAAGTTTGGTCTTTTTCGTTTTTATCGGTACCAGGGATCGAACTGCCTGCTTGCAAGGCAGGCGCTTATGCCTCTGGGCTAAATCCCCAGGCCCTAAGATAGCAAGTTTGAATAAAAAATAAATTATTAGTAAATATTCGAAAGTGAGAAGCAAATTATTCCCAGCACTTAGTTCCTTCCTTCGAATACACACTTGAAAACCGCTAAGACTCTATTCCATAAGAATGCTTGAATCACTCCCTAAATCATAACATGAGTAAACTTACTGAAATATTTTTACAATTGTATTAGAGGTTTTAATTCACTGCTTTATCTATCTCTGTTAGACTGCAAACTAGCTTTAAATATTCAAGTGGTAATTAATGAATCTTTTATGTTGCAAATCAAACATTTTCATCTGTGTGCTGATGGAGTAGCAATGAAAGATTTAAAGAACTGTTTCTCCCTATTCCACATCGTTGGCCAGTGTTTTATCTTAAATTTTGGAAGGGCGTTTGTGTTCCTCGCAGTGTGCTAATGCTCAGTGTGGATGAAGCTTGCTGTCTTTCTGGAGGTCAGGATTTCTTGAAAGACATGTTTCTTGCCAGAGACATTCCTGACTAGATGGAAAGTCTTTGAATGTGGAATTTTTGCTTGAGTGCAAAATAATAAAAAGCACGTGTATGTTAAGAAAGGATCAGCCTAATGGCAAATGAGCATTGGCTTACATTAATATTCTATTACAGTAAAAACTTCTATTTAATAATTTTCTCCAGCCTCCTCCTCCCCAGAATTTCACATATTTTTCTAACTGGCATGCCAACCTAAAGAAAGTATATATGATACATTTGATTTATGTTAAGTCAATAATGTGCACAAGCCATTTAAAATTGCATTTTGAGTATGGAAATAAAAACCCAAGGAAACACATATAGTATCACATATTGAGGACAAAATGTGTCAGCTTTTGAGGGCCTGAAGTGCCTTGCAAATATTTATTCTATTTAGAAGATATTTTAAAAATGTGGTGTCTCATGTCAAGTGGCAAAAAAGCAAGTCCAAAATCCTGCAACTTTGTTTAGGACCCCAAATTAAGCTGGTGCTGAAGATCTTATTTTACAAAACACATTTCCCTTCCTCTGTCATTACTGAGAAAGGAGTTGGTGAGCACTGTCCCTCAGAAACGTTCACAAAGGGTCTGACAGATTCTTGATTGGGAGCCCTATCAGCCACCCTTGTTGTTCAATGGCACTGATTAATACTGGTCTTGGTGACATTTATGTATCAGAGCAATAAGCTAAACAGGAAACAATTTATGTCACCTAAAGCTTTTTAACAAATCGATGCAACTATTTGTAATTGCTTGTTTCACAAGATTAAAAGTGCTCAAGCCTGATCTTCACCCATGGATTTGTGGTCAACCTGACCTGTGCTTCCGTTGTTAAAAAAAAAAAAAAAAAAAAAAAAAAGAGAGAGAGTTGGTGATCAGCACGAACTTCCATCAAGTAATCCATATTGCTAATATTTCTGGAATTTTAATGTAGTTACAATTTATAGCCGATCCAATGTGGTTACCTAAATTGCTGTTGCTAGTAGACAGTTTAACTGTCTTTATTAATTACAGTATAATTTAATGTTTGAGTACCGGCACTTGTATTGGTCATTTTTACAGCTCGAGCAGTTATCTGCCTTATGACGAACCATTTTAGCATTTTCAATGGAATTTTGCTAATATGATGAGTGATAAAAATGTCACACGCTGGTAAATAATGATTATTGCTTTAGCTGAAATTAATTCTTGAAAGGCCGGTTACCTTCAAATTAACATTATAACATGAAGCTTGTCTGTTTCCCTCCTATATTCTTCATATAAGTGCCCCCCCCCACCAAAAAGACCATTAATAATTTCAAATGGGTAAATGGATATGTTAATATATATATAAATACCAATATATGTGACTACAATCAGAATAGAAATAAGATGACCTAGGGCTGTTTCTTCAAAAAATAGTTTAAAAATAAATATAAGTATGTTATATTAGAGTGATGGTTTTCTAATACAAATATTGTTCCAGGGTTAAATCAGTGTTTTTATTATTTAATTTAATTTCCCTCCAATGTGAATTGTCTTAAAGCTTTCATCAACCAATAACTTAAATGAAAGTTTGAGGCCCAACTTTCTTAGAACGAATACTTTTGAGTTAACCACAATGAACCTAAAAGATAAATTATAATTACTATGCTGTGTGAATGCGTAATATTATCAGTATATAATCTAGTAAGAAAGGCTATTTATCTGTTGGGAAAGGGTAAAGGAGAGGTTGTTGAATCATGAAGCTACCTGTTTTGATGTCAAATTAGTCTTAAGGTCCCCACTTAAAAGAAAAACTCTTACTTTGGGTTTGCCGCCTTGTATTTCTGAAGAGCAAGCCTGAAATAAATAATGTAAGCATGTTCCTGTTTAGAATTTCTTGAATAAAATTAAAAATAATCTGTGCATCAGCCAGCAAGATATTCACTTACACAGGTTCTTTATTAAAAGAAATAAATGTACATATCTACTTTAACCAACTGTGTAACAGTATTTATGCTACAGGCTTGCAATTAAGGAAATTTCAATTAACTCTGACATTTTCTTTCTTGGTGGTCAGGTGAAAATTAGATGGTTTGCTGATGATCAGACTGAGGGCTGCAGATGGTGGCCAACAAGGATATTCCTTTGCAACTTACAAGCAAAACCTCCTTGTAAAAAGGAAATGGAAAACTTTCCTAATAGGAGTTTCTTTCAAACAGTGCTGGGAAAGAATGCTTACATATTGCTCCTCGGCAACAACTGCTGAATAAAGACTGCAACCATCTCCTGGCTCGCATAATGTGTTTGGAATTATATATGTGAAACAGTTTTTAAGTTAACATGGGGTTGGCTTTATACAGCACTGCGTTTAGTATACTGGCAATTTTATTTATGCTGAAAGATGATGCTTTAATTCATTAATCCCTAGACTACATGATATAGAATACTACTCAAGAGAAACAGCAATGTTTTGCTGAGGGTACATTTAAAAAATTTCAACCAAGATGGTTTTCGTGGGACACGGAGGTACTAGATTTCCACTATTTTCTCCCCATTGAATGTAGTCATCTAGCAGACTTTTGATAGAATATTTTTATAAAATCATTTGTTCTAATCTAAGCATTTATCATTATATGCAAAAAGATTTCTTGATGAGAATATTATAGACGGTGCATGTTTTTGACATTAGCATTTTATTTGGATGACTAATCTTGCAGATGTGAAATTTTAATGAATTATTCATGAAATTGCTTTCCTCTGAAATTTTAGTTTGCTCTTAATGCTAGTTATTAAACATTGTTTTTCTTTATAAAATTTGATGAAGAGAAATAAGAGTGTACTACTTCCTCAAGTGAACAGAGAGCCCCCCTTTCTTACCTCTTCCCAATTCTCTAAATGGATACCTTCACTTGGAAATCTTATCCTGAGGATAAAAGCTTTAGCCTTCCCTGATGAGGAAAGCTTTTACTTATAATTGATTTTAATTGTGTGTTGGAAGCAGCTGGTGATAAACCTGAGGCGTATACCTAACATACAGTATCAGCAGGTCAGGAGGAAAAAACTTAGGCTGTGGCGACTTTGACTACCAGTGTGAACAACCAGCATTTTTATTGCATTTGAGAATGCTATCATGTCAGTAATTAGTACTGACTACACCACATTTTTTTTTTATTGTCTGTATTCACAGACTTGGAATGATGGAATTACAGTTGATGTCAAGGAATGAGTTTCTTTTATGCCTTATCAAAACAAAACAAACCAAAACCAAAACCAAAACCAAAACCAAACAATTCTTGTTACTGGCAGCACATATACATGAAGCACCACGCTGACGGTCCAGACTTTGCCATCCCCATCAAGGCTTAGAGGGAACAGAGATTGCAGGGGCGATGCTGGGCCCACAAAATGCCTTTTGGATTGTAAATCTCATTCTCAGAACACAAGTGCAAAAATGGGTTGCAAAACATCCAAAATATCAGAAAAATTTGCCATTAACCAGAGGTACCCATAAGACTCAAAATCCTGTTAAGTGGAGTCAGTTTTGCACTTTTGGAAACACAGCTTGGCTGGACTGTGGAAAGGAAAGGAAATGAAATATTTTGTAATTTCAAATTTTTTGGTATTTAAGAAACTAGTGATTTACATTGTATTTTAGATTAGAATCCAAGGTTTTATCAGGTCTGATAGGATACAGGATGCTAGGAATGTGTTAGAGCTGTCTGACGGGGGCAGGACTGGCGGTCACTCTTCAAGTAAATAAGCCTTGATAGTTCACTTCATTGCTAATGTGGCAGCCTAATTCGTCTTCTACGGACAGGTTCTAAGGACAAGCAGGATGGATCCTCATTCCCGACAGTACATTTGTCTCATACAGGGGACTTTCTCCTTAATGTACGCTTTTCTCTGAGGAAAAAAAGTAACATTAACTTTATATCTTGGCACCTTGTATTTTTTTCATACAAAAGTTCAGTATTTTTAACACTCCTCATTATTAACCACTATTTCACTGATAAACTTTGAAAGTGTGATCCTGGAATTTCATCATGCAAAATATTTACTGCAGTAGAGGAAAACATTTTTGAAATAACATATTTTTTTCTCTTTTTCAGATGTATGAACTTGTTTAGATAGCCAGGAAGGCAGTGGTAGGATAAACACAAGGGATATGAATGTATTAAAAAAAAAAGAAAAAAAAAAAGAAAATCAGATTAGAACACATACACACTCACGCTCACACACATACACGCACAATCCTGTACAAAATGCTCCAATCAATGAGAACAGGAAAAAAAAAAAATCTGTCAACTATGTTACAATTTAAAAGAAAAAAAAAAGTTAGGGAATTTCTCCCTCCACATGTCAGGAAATGTCATCCAATATTCTTAAAGCAAGGATAACTAAATAAAATACATGTGCAGCATATTCTGCAATTCCATTACATACAGTAGTTTTTTTCCAAAGATATTTTTTTAGTATTGTTAATATAAAGCAGTTGCACAAAAAGCAAAGATGTTTTGACAAACAGGTGTATGCATTTATTCCTTTTTAGGAACAATATCTAAAAAAAGAACCGCCCTCTACCCTCCCCCAAAAAAGACAAAGATTCACACAGACACATTGGGATATATGTACAACATAATAAACCCCATCCTAAAGAAGCGACTGGAATACCCCCAAGGGATACAGAATCAGAATTGTAAAAATCATAGTGAAGTTTTCTTGCTGTAAAGCCTGAGAAAAAATTTTTTTTCAGTTGGTTCTTCTACAGGACTGTGATGCCTGCAAAGATGTGTAAATTCTAATTTTCTTTTTTTCTTTTTTTTTTTCTTTTTTTTTGCTACAGTCTTTAGACTAAGCATGCAAGACATACGACTAAGTGCAACTGAGTGAAATGTATTTTTTAAAATTTTAATCATTCCCTAAAGGTTGAACTGAGGTATGCGTACTAACAGTTTCTCATGCTGTTATCTTTACTCATGTCTAGCTACACATGCTGAGAATGAACTAATCTACCAGATTTTTATCCTCTTTTGAATACCAAACTAACCAGCAACCACTCAGTTTAGAAGCACAGGGCCCCCTTCCCATGACCCTGTCTGGCTACTGCCTGCACATCATGAAGCTGCGAGTGACCACAGACTGCCCTGGATACAGAAAGCAGAGTGAAGCTTCAAAAGCAACTGCAAAAGGCATTTTTGTACCAAGCTTATGAGTGAACGGGAGTGTTACTTTTTCTTTTTCTTTTTTTAACTAAAAATGCTGACCAAAGTCCAAAATGAAGGCAAAACAAAAAAACAAAAAATGACAGGAAAAGAAATCCCCCACCAAACTGGAGGATATGTGCCAAGATAAGCCAAAATTAATGCAGTGCTCATAGCACAGTCCTTAAACAAAAGTGGCATACAATTGTTCTAAAGGTTTTTTTCTTTTAATTCTAGAAATACTAGTATGTGGTCTAGTTCAATCACAAAAGCTTTTCTGTTCTTTCTGAATTTCGTGTTTACTCTCTCCTCTATTATACACCTCATTTCCAGTGGCATACATTCATTTCTTTCTCTCTGACATGGGACTCCATTCCTTCTGTATAACTATAATACTGTGTCCTGTTTTCATGTTCAGTAGCCCCACAATTTGTCTTTCTTTATAAGACTGAGTTTTGGTCTCTGAAGAGGTACAGAAAGAAGAAACAACTACTAGAAAAAAGTAACAGCTTTGGTTCCATTACCTCCTTGGTCTTCTGGGTTTACTCTGGGGTGAAGGAGCAGTTCTCTTTCTCAGGTTAGCAATAGCCTATAGCTCATCATTTGCCTCTAAATTCTTTCGCCTCCTTTGATCAACAATAAGAGGATATTTGGCTTCATCAGATAAAGCATAAAACAGAGAACATAATTTACTTTTGTGTAATATCTTTGGTAATTTTAGAAATAAAAGGTACAAAGAATATAAATTAAGCTCCAAAAGGCTCTCAAACTAAAAATAAAAGCTACAGTCCTAGATAAATAAATGTCAGGGGTAGTGGGCGCCAAGTGGAAGTGTGGACGGGTGGGAAGGACTGAGGTTGTACTGACCCAGAACCATCAGGTTCTGCAGGCCCTGTGCGGTTCCGCAGAAGCCCAGGGCTGACAGGATCCTCTACTGATATCCTCTGTTACTTTTTGATATCGGGGTGATGTGAAAATATTGCATAATGAAGTGAACTGCAGTAATGAATTTGCACATTTGAAACGAACACTTTTAGCATTGCTGAACTCAGTCCTCATTAACTCCCATAACAAGTTCAATCTGAAGTTTAATTTGCATTCAAACAGACTAATGCCACCAAGCACATCTGAACTGATGTATAAACTCAGTGCCATCACCAGGTTCCGCAGAGTTGCTTTGGGAAGCTGGCTTTTGGTCGTCCTGCAAACAAAGCAACCCTCACCAGTTACCCCCACTGTGTTGTCACACAGAATCTGCAGCCCTCTCTACTGATGTACAGGAGGGAGAGCATTCTGCAGGACTAACAGCAGTTCGAATATTAGGGGCTCTAGATTCTTTCACTCTGATACTGCCTATGTTTCCTTGTGCTGGTAGAATGCTGTGGCATTTCTTTCTAATGATGATTACTATAAAAAAAAAAAAAAAAAAAAAAAAAAACAGAAAATCTGAAAATTCCCTTGCCACCCTCAATACTGCTTTGCGGAATGAGTCTGCATTGTTCCTAGTGTGTGTCTCTATTTTTTTTTTCTGTCATTCATTCTCTTTCTGGCAGGACGTCACGCTTGTGTGAGAGGAGTTTCATGTGTAGAGAGAGTGCACCATATGGGACCTTTTAGAAAAAGACCAAAACGGAATGTTTTCCAACTTTCGAGAAAGGTGGTGATGTCTTGTAGGAGAATGGAATGAGTGACAGAAAACTACGAACAAGAAATGACATTCAGCTTTGTATAATAAAAACACCTATTAACATTCATCACAAGGTACAGAAAACTTTAAGCCTCCAAGAGGCCATGGGCCCAAGTGGAGGCCTGAGGTCAGAACTTAAAATGGTATAGTAGAAGCCAAAAAAAAAAAAAAAAAAAAAAAAAGCAATACATTAAAAAGTTTGGGATAATTATTTTTTTCACCCCTCCCCCCAACACACACACAAAGGCCTTCCCCATCCCAACTGGAAGCAAAAAACAAAAACAAAACAAAAAAAGAGTAAAGGCAGTGATAATCAACATGCAGTACTGTGCAAATAGGTCGTCCATTGGAATCCTTAAATTCTGGGCAAAGGCTTGGTCTGCAGCTTAGGTGCACAAGCTCAGTCGGGTGTCCTCAGAGTCCAGCGTTGGCAGGACTACAGTTCAAAGTCTGCTGCTAAAAGTAAATCAGTTTAGCAAATTTACAACACTGATGTTGACTGTTAAGAGAGGAAAATCCCAAGTACCAAACAAGTCCATCCAATGCACAGAGTACAAATTCCTTTTTTCAACAAAAAGTAGAAAAATCAAAAATACTCCCAAATGGGATTCTTGATGGCACTAAGAGTTAACACATTTCAGAGTTGTCAAAATGTAGTGAAAATCCTCCAGACTGTACAACAAATGGAGAACAATTTCACTGCTGACTTTTTGACGTGTTTTGTTTTGCTTTTTTTCCCCAATCTTCTTCCTTGGGGCCGACCAGTCCAGATGTTCACTCTATGTCCTCATTTACTGCTTCATCTTCATAATCTCTGTCATGGTCAAAATCTGGACTGTGGTTGGCTGTTGTCACTAAGGATAGAGGCCCTTCAGCTTCCTCTGGATCGAGAGGCTCTTCTTTGACGTGCACAGGATGCCTGGAGAAACAAACAAGAGGTTCAGTGGGGCTATTTCTCAGCACAATGCAATCTTCATGTTTGACGCAATCTAAAAGTCACACTATATAGCTGTGCTGTCCAATATGAGGGCCCCGGCCGACCATGTGTGCCTTTTCTTGTTTGCACTCACCATGTTTCAAGTGGTCAGTGGCTTCCCTACTAGAGAATCCAGAGAAAGGATATTTGGATGAATGCACACATTTCTTTTGGACAGGGCTAGAGTGCATGATCTCTGAAAGAAGCTGGCCTCTCCTGCCCAGTGGCATTTCTCCTGTCTTCCTGGGTACCCTGACCACCTGAGGAGCTTGTTAAAATGCAGTGTGGAAAGGATGTGGGGTAGGCCTGAGATTCTGCATTTCTCATGAGCAGTCTAGTGCTGCTGCTGGTCCTTGGACCACACATTTTGAACACCAGATAACAGGTCCCTTTGTGGCTTCCTAGGTGGATGAATACCAATCTTCAAATAATTACGTGACATGAGAATCTGTAATATAACAGTGGTTTGTGGGGACCATTGAGCGCAGAGGCTGGGCTAATCGTGGCTTGCTGTGTGTTCTGCTTTGCTAGTTAACATGCAGAACCTGTGAAAGAACTCTCCAGAGGACGACCCCAAGCGAGGTTCTATCATTAATCAACTTCAAGCAAACACAGCAAAGAGACACCATGATACATGCTTGAAACTCCAAATTAATGCATATTTTTACAAACTGTCAATAAGGCAAGAAAAGCCCTGCCAGGAAACACAAACGGAGAGGAAAAGGCTCGCTCAACAAAACAATATGATAAGAAAGCAGAGCCCCAATCAGAATAATAACACTGTCAGCTGTAAACAAGGCAAAACATGAGGCCCAGCTAGTAGAGGCCACAGGACGTGCACGGATGCGATGAGATCTGCCAACTTTCTCATTATGGACCAATGCTTGGTTCACAGGGATGGGGCCGATCACACAAAACCACTCTGATAACAATTGAGAAATGTTGTTCCGTAAATCATATTTACAACTGATCCTTTACAAATACAAATTACTTTCTATTGCAGGGCTTTTGATATGTAAAATAACCATTCAAGTTAAAATGCTCCCATCTCTGGGATGGAATGCAGAAGAGGGGATTTTTTTAATTGACATTATCAAGTATTAGTAGTAAGAGGAGGTCCTGGGGATGGCAGGCTTCCTAAATAATTGATACTGTGTGCAAACCCCAAAGGCCCCTTGAACCATTTAAAAACAAACAGGAGTGTTCTGGACTGCCCTTGAAGATGTGAACCTTCAGAATCAATTGACTCTAAAATTAGTACAACGTACCGAGTGTTTCTGGGGCTACATGTCAGATAAAGAGCTTTAGAAATCATACTCATATTCTTAAAAACCATTTGCAAAACAAAACAGTGCAGTTGTTACACAGTATCTATTTTTTTACATGTGCTCTCCATCTACATTTAATTTTTAACAGTTTTATTTATCTGTATTTCTGTGATCAGACTCAGGCCTGTGACACAATCTGCAAAGCCCAGCGCAAAATAAAAATGCAGGGGTCTGGCACAAAAATTAAGAATTTCAAGAGCGAAGTAGAACACAGTGTGCTATGAGACTGCGTAAGTCACACACCTGTGTGGTTCATCCTGTTAAGGATCCCTGACATTGTTCTGTGACCAACTAGGTGTACAGGATATCATTACTTTAAAAAAAAAAAAAAAAATCATGGGTTGGGGATATTGCTCAGGGGCAAAGAGCTTGCCTGGCAAGCACAATGTCCTGAGTTTGATTTCTGTTATGAAACAAAATCACTAATCAACTGCTTATTAAGGTTAGTTTTTACTTTTGTCTGTCTCCCACTGCAATTCATACTGCAGGTGTCACAGGCACAGGAGGTATATTTATTTTGTTAGCTTTTTAGTTGTTACTTTTATGGCTATGTGAGCATCCTCTGTTAACAAAAATGTATGTCAGTTCCTAACTACTGGGCCTTTTGTGTTCCTCTTTTGTCCCCCTTTTGCATAGCACACTAACCATTTTTTATCCATTAATCTTTCTACTTCTGTTGATTTATCTCTTTAGATAAATTTCTAAGAAAGGAATTGTTGGAGGAGCAAAGGTCAAAATATCTTTATGGTTCTTCTGATTTACTGTGATATTAATTTCCAAAGGGGCTGTATCAACTGAAAATCTCATCAGTACTCAGCATTATTTTTAAAAATTTGTTGCTTGGCATGTCTGGGTTATTTGCAGGCTACTTAAACCATGTTTCTTACATTACTAACAACACAGACTACTTTAGGTTTCACTTTCATAGTTTCACTGTAGAAAATTGTTACTTCATAAATTACTTTATCTCCTCTGACCCAATGGTTTTGGTAATGCTCACTGGATGGGAATCTTGGGTTTTTTTAGCCATGTACTGAGGCTCAAATATTATTTTTCAGATTAATATTCCTCCTACTCTTATTTTTTACACTATAAGCTTATTAATCTTTTTATAATCTGGAATCTGATCACATAAGGTAATATAAAGCTTTGAGTGGGAGGTGAAGATCGGACTTCTTAAAACAAAACAGAAATGTCTTAATGAAATTCTTGCTTTATAACTGTAGACTGTGACAAATGTTTTGTTAAGCTATGCACAACAGCAGCAAAAATGACTCCAAATATCTTTTGGAATATCTCCAAAAAAAAAAAAAAAAAAAAAACCTCACAATATCAGAGAATTTTTTGTTTTTCCCAAATCTATTGATTATTTATATACCCAAAGTCATTTAATGACCCTGTTAGGCTGGCTAGATGTACATGTGAGTGCCTTACATGTGATGGGACTCCCAAAAATGTTAAGAGCTAGACCCACTGAGTGGCAATCAGGTTAGATAACAAGGCTTTGAAGACTCCAGAAACAGGAAACCTGATCTCAGTGCATTTTTTGGATGAGCAGGTAATCTGCGTGCAACAAACAGAAGTAACTAAACAATGGATTCTCATGTAAAATGCAAATTATTTAAGACACAGTATTTCTTATACATCCAGTGTCTCCTAGAAACTGGTACTCAAGGACTCACCATGTACATTTTGCCCTTTGGAAGCCTTCAGGCACCTTGCCCCACTACCCTTCTCTCCAACATTTACTTCTGTAAAGCCTACCAGTGAATAACTGTGCAAAACCACACATTCCCCTTCCCCTTACATCTGAGTAATTCCTTTGTTTAGCCACTCTGGGAACACAAGAGTTTTTAAATAAAGCTGACTGGTGTGTAAATGCATTGTGTTCTGGGGGTGCATGACAGCATGCAGTATTTTGCTTTGTGGCTCTTTTAGCTCCTCTCAGGATAAAAATGTAATGCCCCAAAGCCATAACTGTGTCTACTTTTTAGTGTTAAAAAAAAAAAAGAAACACACAAAAAGGGTAAGAATCAAGAGTTCTGTTTCAAAACTAGGAATTAGCTGGGCTGTCATCTTAACAAGGTTCTGTAAGCCCTGCCATAAAGTTTATGACTTGATTTATTCCAATAGACTGGAACAGTTAAAAAACAATTTGCATCATAGCAGGCAATGCATATGGGACAAAAAGAAAAACCATGTCATTATAGAATTCGCTTAATGGAAGCATAGGGTCAAAAAGAGTAACCTTTTAGGACACTGATAGCAGCCACAGGGAATCTGCTGTCGACACAGAACTACATTTAGCAGACAGTGTGATCCTTAGATTTGAGCAACACACTCTGACATCTTTACATAGGCTTTCCTTCCTTTCTTAAAAAGAAAAATCAGTTGAAAATGGTTTCATTTAAAATTATGATGACTGCTGTAAAACAGGATTTTTTTGTAATCCTGGGGTTAACTCAAAGTTGTTAAACAAGTTAACTCATAGTTGATTTTATTGTCTCCAGTAAAATTAGCGTGATTCTAAAGAATTGCCTGTGAAACTTTGATCCAAACACTTTTTTCTTGCTAGAGATCTTTTGTACTAAATAACAAGAGGAATACTGTTTTTCACTGTCACTTCAGACATTTATTTGCCCTAATGAATATTTCTTCAAAGTAGCTCATATGCCAATTTACATTTTCTCTAAACTTTCTTGCTATATAAGTAAATACTTCTACCATAAGCATGATCTAAAGATTTATACGAGTGTGAACATAACAATAAAGTCAGAAACATAGAGAGGATGAAATATAGCAGCATTACTGTGAAAGACGCACACTTTCTTAAAATGTGAAGTAAATGCTGAGATGCTTCTTCATATAAATAAAAATCATTATTTCCATCTTTAAAGATCCTTTTCAAAGCACTCTGGGTATGAAATCCAAATGCTAGAAAATCAAATTTCAGATTCCCCAATTCCTCCAATTATGCTGGCAGATAACATTATTTTTCTTTGTCATTAGATGCCAATTCATTGTGTTTCTAATTGCTGCAGGTCATATTTTCCATTCCTATCACTCAAATCATCTTAAAATAAGATGTTGGTCAGTAATTCAGAATGTGTAGACAGTGGCCTATTCCAGGAGCTGACAGAACTGCAAACACTGAATTGGTTTATTCACTTAAAGTAGGCCACAGTTTTGCAGAAATTCACTAAAAGGGAGAGCCTCTCATTCCACAGCATCCTCTGCAAATTCAATCATCTGGAATAATGTGGTTTCTTTTGTCTGCTTTAGAAATGTTCATAGGAGGGAGAGGGGTTATTTTAGTAGTACCAAATCTCTCCTGTGACCCACCCAAAAGGTGTCATAACCTGGTGGCATTCACATGCAGCGTGGGCTACCATCACCTATCACACTTCAGTTATATGTGCACTCATTACATTGCCGTCTGCTACTATAATGCTCCTATTAATTTTCCTTTTGATATTTTAAGAGCAATCTATAAATCATGCCGCCTTTCATTTGTGCCATCATTAATGCTTGGTAATAACGTTGTACCATTGCATTCACACTGTTAAACTTAGCACGAATAACCAAATAAACAAGCATCTTTCTTTCTGCTAGTTTGGCATGCTGAAACATTCAATCAATTGCAAGCTTTTCTAGGTATGCGTTCTAAATTTTGGAGAGCACTACAGTGAGGTTTAAATAATAGCCTCAGATATAAAGCAGAAAAAAGAAAGCAAACATGCTTTCCATTTTACTGCCCTGTGCACTTGTAGATGAAGCTGATTACTTTTAATGAGAAAATTAACAAATAATCCTTTTATTCATTAACATTTCTAGACGCACAAATTTCTTCCTGTGTCCCACGAAATCAGAAACTACAGGAAAGGAATATGAAGAGGCCAGAAAAGGTTCTGTGTGCATACAAAGCAGGCAGTGGGGACCTGATGCAGAGATCATTTGGGTCAACAATACTCACACAGCTTGCATAGGGGATCTGCCTGGACTGCTGTCACTCTCATTGCTGTTCGTGTGCTCCATGGCCCCATTCAGCTCCTCTCGTATGGCGCTGGCTAAGTTGCCCAGAGTGGGATTTCCCATGGAAGCGGTAGTGTATAGAGGTATACTGTTCTCAGCCATTGAAGCCTGCATCAACCAGGAGAAAACTTATGAAGATACGGGGTATGCAAGACAAGCAAGCTATGAATTATAGGTGTATTCAATAAACTCCTGTTTAAAGTCATCGTAGCATGGTTGGCAAACACAGATTTCAAAGAAGTGCAGAAGGATACGGCTTTAAAAGTGACTTGTGCACATGCCCCAAGTAGGGTTTTGGTTTTGAAAAACTAACTGGAGGAAGCAAAGTGCCCTTTGAGAGTAAGTACTCAATTTGGTCATGCTTGGCACAGTCACATGGCTTAGACAGGGATATTTAGTGTGAGATTTATATCTGATTTTTTTTTCAAGAGAAACTGAATATTTCTAGATCAGAGTGAAATATAATGGAATTCTCATTTCTTATCCATTTTGATGACTCCACTATTGGATAGCAGAGATCTGATCCGATTATTCTGGCCATACTGCTCAAATTTATGAGAACGTCCATAAACATTTACCTCTTAGATCCTATAGAAAAGGAAAAGATTATAGAATTGGAATCAATTTTTATCTTCCCTCATCATTTCTGTTTGAATGGTTTTTCAATCTGTTTAGTGAAGTTTGAGATAATCAGTTGAGGGTAACACTGCAGTCACTTGGGACTTTAGGCCCAAAGAAAAATCTCTGGCAAAAAGGAAGCTCTAAATCTTATTTCTTCTTGGTGCCCATGCACATCCATATTAAAGGTGACAAAATCACTCCAAATGAGTGTCAGCAAAAAAGTGGAAATGGAAGAAAAAAACTTACTCGCATTTTGTGGTAGGATACTGTTTACTTCCTACCTTCTTACCTTTGAATAAAATGCCCATCCTGTCTACAAAGGAGACAGTAGCCAAATATATTATTAGACTAAAATGTCTGCATTTGTTTCATTTGTGAACGGTTGGGACACAGTGGTTTTTCATTTTATTGAACAGGACAGACTTGGAAAAACTGGCAGCAGTAATTAGACCAAGATTTATCAAAACTGTCCTCTTGCAGACTACACTATGCCTGGTTTTCCATCCAAATGAGAAAAAAGTACAATCACAAGACAATCTGGCATGGTGACTTCAATTGGCCCATCAAGCAAGAGTCCAAACTATTCCGGAAATCCTGGCAATAAAGAAAAGGTATGAGCCAACTATGAAGAAAAAAGGGAGCAAAGCTGGGCAGCAGGGTGTCTGCCTAGCATGACAATTGAAGCCTCACTCACTGTATGAACTCCAAAGCCAGAAATGCTTTCTAGAGATAAGTCCATCTGAGGCCAGTACCCACTCACCCAATCCAGTGGTGCCTAACAGACTATTTCAAAGCTGGGTCCTCTGCAAGTCTACAGCTTTTCCTTTCCTCTGCTTTTGGATGTATTATACTGCCTTCTTTTAAAAAGTAGGGAAAATATCCTATTTTTATAAACTCATTTTAATTGACATTCGCCACTTTCCTCTTGTGTTAAATGGTTTGCATTAAGTACTTTTTTCACTAGATCACTTATAAATGAAATAAAGCATTTTTACAGTTCTGGGAAAAGCAGTGATGTAGTATTATTAATGCAAACTGAAGTTGGATAACCAGCTGCATTTTAGACAATGAAGTGGTCACACCTTTCCCTGTCATGGAAACACCAGAAAGCAATGTTCACAGCACACACTCACTGTTAAGCTACTGTCAGGGGCAAACAAAAGGCCGTGGTTAGCTTAATATTTCAGCAGATTCACTTAGAAGTCAAAACAAAAATGAAATGATTTTTAAGAGTTGCTGGTATGAGGCTCAGTGGTGGAAGCACCTACCTAGCAAGTGCGAGGTCGTGAGTTCAATCCCTGGTACAAAACAAAACAAAACAAACAAAAAAACCAAAGCATTGTTTGGATGAGTTGATCACTCTGTGGTCAGGATAACTCTCCTGGGATAAATATTTATTCTTCTTGGTTCTCAACAGTGCTCTAGTTTAAACCATTTCTGATTGAGATTGAATCTTAGAACATAGGTGGGGACCCAACTACGGCAGTGAAGAAAGTCAGCCAAGGTGATCCCCCTTATACTCAATCCCTGACTGTCAGACAAGATGTTATGTGAAGAAAACCATCTTTGTCTCTTTAAAAAATTACAAAGGGGCAACAAAGAGATTCTGTAACCTCTCTCTTGAATATTCTTTGTTGAGCGAATAATCAGAGCAATCCAGGTTAGAAAATTTTTTATCAACTGCTTATGCCTGTTTCTCTGTAGTCAATGTCCCCTAGGAGCAGGCATGTCACATGTTTTATAATGGACTTAATTATATAAATGATCCTCTGCACAGTGTGTGGCTTCATGTCAAACCGGCACCTCTGCCAAAGAAATGAAGGTGCTTAAGTAATGGTGCAGAAGTCCGTAAGTACCACTGCTTCTGGAACATTAACTGCTCTGAGATCCTCAGGGGAAAGGCAGTCTATAAATACGAAGCTTTACGGTTACCCTTAGTTACTTCACTTTTTCAGAGCATAATGCAATCTGTCCCAAGTTCCATGTTTTATTTCTGTAGTGGATTCTGCTGTCCTATTTTATAAACTGTATATCATGCATTATGTTGCTCTAGTAATTTTTTAAAGATATTGTTCCACTATTATTTTAACTTGTCTTTGGAAATGGGTGATAATGAAAAAGAAGGCCTGCTGGTAGAATCTTTTATTCAATTTGCACAGAAGAAAGTTACCTTATAACTGTCTACTGATTGAGGATCCAAATTCATAGAAGAGAGGGAAATAATCCACCCCTCAAACCATGAATTTTTAGCAACTTATTTGCCTTGGTATAGACTGTTCTTGGAAAATGACAGGATGGTTTTTGGCTGCCACAGGAACAAGGAAGTGTACAGAGGATGCAAAAGCAAATGGCTTGGAGAGAAGACACGAACAGTTTTGTAAGGATAAAGCATACTAATTGAAATCAGTCACATAGTTAAGGGAAGGAATCCAGGGTGATCATTTTTATTTATTTATTTATTTATTTATTTATTTATTTATTTAGCATTTCTGCATCATGAATGTAAAATGTGCTTTCAATTTAATACTATTCCAGACATTGCAGTCTTTAAATTCATTCTTCACAACACTCTAAAGAAAATAAGTTACTAATCAATGATATTTACAGTGGCAGCACCTAAGCGCACTTTCATTTACTCTTCCAAAGTTATGGTGTAAACTACAAGTAATTAAAAGAAACACAGAAAGTAGTTTCTCCTATTAAATTTAGTTCAGACTAAAAATAAATATAATTACTGAAATGCTAAGTTCAGTGAATTTGGAGCTGAACTGTGTAAGAGGCATATCCAGCAGGAGCCTTAAGATGCTGCTGGGGATCAGGCAAAACAGTTTTGCAGGGCAGCGAGTACATGCTCAATAAATATTTGCTTACTAAACAGTGAGAACCAGGCTCCTGTCGGTATCTCCTCCTTCCCTATCCTGTTCCCATAATGCCAAGTATCTCAAATGGCTATTCAGTTTTTGTTTCCCTATTGGTGCTCTATTCTAAGAAATGTTTTATATGTTTATGCATTTGGAAGGGCACACACCAGCATAGCATCTAAGAACCAGTGTCTGGCTGCCACAGCCCCCATGGGGAACAGGTGAGGTAATAGAAGTCTGCCATAGTGTTGGATTACCAGAGGCAGACTGCTTTTCATCTACAAGTTACAAAGATTCCTTTGGCCTATCTTTTAGGACAGGCTGGGTAAATAAAAAACAAACAAGAGCACTGGCCCAAAGGATATTTCTCCCTATGAACTTCTGTGGGGAACTTGAGCACTATATTTAGGGACTCAAGAGTAATTCTTTGACTGGAAACACAACTTGACAATGTGGTAACTGAAAAGTGCCACAGTAAGTAAAATGCTGGGTGTCTCCTCCCTCTTACTCAGACTGTTGCATTCCCCAGGGCCCCAGGACCACTGGTGATGTAACAAGTGTTTGGTTCATCAGTAGAAAGCAGACATTCTGTGTAGTTATTATGTAATCTTGACCAACCTGCTGGAAACCTACACTTATTTCTTAAGCACTTCTACTGTTTTAATAACAGTTTACTTACCCAAGTGAGACAAACTCAAACTACCTAGTCCCTCAAAACACATGAGAAAATGGACATTAAAAGAAGCAGGAGAAATACAAAGCTCAGCTTTCACTTTAAACCTGTGAACAATAGAAGGTCATGTGATACAGTGGCCTATCATCCAGCACATTAATAGCTGTGCTAGAGTAATTACACTTGTGGTATTTTTGCCTCAAGTGAAATTCTGAAATAAGAGGATGGAAATTATGATACTGCTGATAAATATTAATAAGTGAACTTTTAATTTTTTTGCCACAATATTCAAAATGCTAAGCATCCTGCTAATGCTGAAGCAGCCCGATGTGTTTGCCTCCAGGGAGTACGATGCTTTGTGCACTTAAGAAAAAAGTTTAACGGAATTAAAATTTAATATCTAATTAGAGCGAGGCTAATATATTTTGAAATGAGTGGGGGAGACATGTGCCTCTGCTGCATATTCGGGATGGCCATCAATCTTACCTGTAAAGCTGCATTGAGAGGTGTGCAGTAGGCGTGGCTGCTCTGCATGTTTTTAATAAGGGAAGGGTTACTGTGTGAGAAAAAAGATAAAAACTCAAAGTTAAACACAATCGACCCATGAGTTCCTAGCTAAGTTTTATTTTAAGCTGCTGGTAGCCTTCTGTATTAGAAATATTCCCCACTACCCAAAGGAAAGTTAAGCTTTTACCCTCTCCTGTTTTACAGGATTGCTCTGTGCAAGAGCTGCTGGGGATAGACTTTGCTGTTCAAGGGAACTGAGGATAAAATCCCAGCACATGTAGTTATCAGATTTGGGTAGTAGCTGCCCAATTCCAACAGGAAGGTAGCAGCTTGGGGACTGTGCTGGGAAGTCACTGAACCCACAGCGGGGGGACCTGGCAATGAGTGGAAAGACTCTCCTCTGATCCCAAACTTTCCAAGGCACATTTATGGGGAGAGGAGAGTGTGCTGGGGAAGTTCACTCCTGAGCAAAATGGGAGGCTGGGCTGCCGTCTGTATTGCAGAGCCAGATCACAAGTATGAGATGCTGTCTCCATATCAACTGCCCAAAGGAAGCCAAGATAGCGATTTAAGAGGTCCCAGGCCTAGTACAAACTAACTAAAAACTTGTATGACAGATACTGAATGGCTTCCAGTAAGAAATTACCCAAATTTATCAGTGAACTTTTAAGGAAGTATTATATACATGATATTACCAATTTTCCCCTATACTTGCAACATTTTACACATCTCATTATTATCTACATAATACTAAGTGAACAAACAAATTTATCTTAACACATACACATTTTTAACTCTACATAAAAATCTCCTTTTGACTTCAAGGACTTGTGAGTCACACACACAAAAATATTTAGTCATAGGGCCCCTGCAAGCTGCTGAATCAAAACACAATAATTTGCATTAAAGATGCCAAAAAAGCATTATTCAAAGCACTGGTGTACCAAAGAGAAACGAGAGAAATACATGTACAAATCACACAATTTAGTTTCGTTGCAGAAAGCTGTGGCACTGCTACTTGGTGAAATGCAAAACTACATGGGATGAGTCAACCATGCAAAGCCAAAGCAACAGCAGAAAAATAAAACAAAAGCAAGTAAAGGCTCTTACTGTGCGACAAGCTCGTCAAAGTTTTCATCGGGGCAGTATTTGCGAGGACGGCCTCGTTGAATATGGCGGCCACGTTTAAACTCTTCATCATCAACTGTCCAAAAGGACCCAAACTCATCCTCTACTCTGATAAAGCACTTATGCAGTGAGAGGTTGGTGCGAATGGCACCCTGGGATAGGAGCAGCAGCAAAGGAGATGAAGTGGCAACAAAAGGAGACGGGGTTGGGGGCAGAACAGACATCCAATACAGGGAACAGGAAAAAGAAAATAAAATGCAATAAGCATAAGCAAATGGTTTGTGAGGGTTAATATGCATTGCCACCTAAAAGCTACTAGCATGTGATGCAACAAAGACCAGCAAGCAGGGCAGGGGGACTGGTGGGTATACAAAACAGGAGGGATGAAATGCTTTTTTGCTTCCCTTAACTGAGACAATGTGAAACCAGTTCTTTGGTCTAACACCATCTAGCAGCCAAAGCCTCTACGTTATACTTGTTAGCACAATCCAAGCTAGGCTAAGAAGTTCAAACATGGTGGACATACCCACTGATCTTTTGTGGCCTTCGTTTTTGGAATTCTACTTCATCCACTGTCCATACTGCCCCTTTAACGTTTTCTACTCGCACAAAACACTTGTGAAGACTAAGATTATGACGCACTGCATTCTGCAGCAAGTATAAAAGAGAGAACATTTACATTTTCTGTAAGAAAAGACTCCAACAACAGCAGTACATTCAGCCTAATAGTCCACATTTGTAAAACCATTCCCAAGAATTGTAGCTACCACCCACATGGAGGACACTCTTATGTTTGAGGGGGTCTTTTCTGATTAAAAAAAAAAATCCCCAAAAGTATATAAATCAATTATACTTTAGTATTTAATTTAGTATTTTAGAATCTAGTTTCTGGTAGTATCTAGCTAGAGGAAATACTAGTAATATGAATACAATCCCGAAATAGGTTTCATAATACAACTCTGAATATATTATTCCTATGACTTTGAGATATATGAAACAGAACTAATTTTTTTGAGATTTATCTACCTCTCATTTTAAAAAGAATGGATAATTAGTATTCCATGAAAGATGAAGCCTCAGTTAATATTAACTATATGGCAGTATCTACTTTTAAAGTTACACATGGGCTTTATTAAGGAGAATTCTAGACAGGATTTTACCATTGAGAGTATCACCTTGTATAGCCAGCGGAATCAGCGGGTGACTTAACCTCTCTTGGGATCAGTATCCTCGATCAAGCTCTTTCTTACTTCCCTAATTTATGTAAAATCTGGCACTTACTTGAGTAGCTTGATTAACTGAATGAATGCCAAGGAACACATGAGCAAGACTGTTGATGGCAAAAGGACTATATTTCTGTAGTTCAAGGTTTCTGCACACAAATGTTTCTAAGCCATTTCTGGCCATTCCTAACCTGTGACTCTTCAGGTTTATAATCTATTAAAGTCTACCAAAGATGGGGTTCTCAATTCAAGACTGAGCAGCTTTCAATATCTCATCTTTACTTTGAGTTTCAGGAAAACACAACCTTGGCTGGGTCCATAAATAAGCATGACTTTCTTTAGTCCTGCCTCATTGAACTTACTGATGCAGAACCATTGTTGGACATGAGGATATGGTAAAGAGACTTGCTTAAAACTTTTTCCTCATAGGAAATAAGCACCTCAACAGTAGCATAAGATGCTAATGCATGTGCTGCACCTCACACACTGTAAGCCCTTGTTCACTATAATAACATTGCTGTTGCTCAGCCACTCTGCACCCTGAACTAGTTTCCATCCACCACCTGCAGCATCTGCTCTCTGAATTTAATACAGGTGGCAAATCTTGATACCTTCAGAGATGTTTCCATTTTTGGATAATCATAATTGGTAACTATAAAGATTCAGGCTATATTTTTTTCTCTGCAAAGGAATATTTAGAAGATAATGAGACAATTTTTACTGCATGGTGTGATGAGTTTCTTATAAGGAGAATCCATGGGATAAATTCCCAAAGAGTTTTTGAATAACATCAGTGTAACTGGGGTAGTTTCATGATATTGAGGAGACTATCAAAGGATGTCCCTGATTTTAAAAAAATCCTGATAGATTTGCTTAGAAATAAAACTTTTAAAAATATTTGGCATTTCACAGGTATTACTTGGTAGGGTAAATTCTCTGTGTATAAAATTGTGACCTAGCTTTTAAGTAAGTGAGTTGCACAAAGGCATAGGATAGGATAGGATAGGATGGTAAAGATCATCTCCTTGAAGAAGATGGAGGAGATACAAACAATACAACCAAAGTTCCTTTAAGAATTCAGAGAACATGTACAAATGTAGGAAACACAGGTGAGAGAAAATGGACATTGTTTCTAGTCACTGATGTTTTAAAGTAAGTATCAAGATGTACAGAACTCAAAGAGTTATGAAGCCACTGTAATAAAAGAGTTCCTGTACATCTGGCTAAATGACACAGCCATATAATTATAAGATGCAAGGCCAAAACTTAAATGTTGTTTTCCAGGGCTTCACTTTAGCAGAAAGCCACTAAAAATAAGAAACTTTCCAAAAAAGATGGGTGAACTCTTTTCAGTCACAACTTTAAAGTGGGCATTTCATCTTTTGTCTGAGATCACAGTATCAATAAAGACACCCAGAGAAAATTATATGTATTTAGGAATCATTAAGTACTTCATCTAGGGTTGTTTATATCAATGATACTTTTTCCTGCACTTTGCAGAAAAGAAGTTGTATCTGAAGATTTGAGCTTAAATTTATATTTATAACCGGTGATTATTTTTAAATTTGATCATTTGATATTTATAAAAGGCAATTTGAAGAAAATGTCTATTTTGTTCTTCTATTTCCTGTATTTTTAAGGGCATCTGTAGCTAAAGAGTCTTTGTATTTTTTCCTCCAAGATAAGCTGAAGAAAGGGGTAAGATTTTCAACACAGGTTCCCCACTTCAGGGGCCCTTGGCCTAATGAATTTTCTGGTTTTATTATTATTTTTTCTCTGAAGTAGTGAGCATTGAATCCAGGGCTTTTCTTTATTTTGAGGCAGAGTCTTACTAATTGGTTCCAGCTGGTTCAAACCTATGATCTTCCTGACTCAGCCTCCTAAAAGTGCTGGGATTACAGGCGTATGGTATTGCACTTGGCTTCCATTTCTTTTAAAATGCTCATTTATCATAAATTTAATAGAGGAAATATGGGTTTTTTTTCCTCCCATGTAAAATTAAAGTACTAGTAGGGAAGGCATTTACTTCAATTAAAGCAAGTTTTATTTGTATCCTATAATAAAACCCTATCATATTTAGACTAAGGACATGTAAAAACCCTAAAATGTTTGTATTAAAGTTGTCTAAATGTTTTAGAGTGCAGGGATTAGAATTCCAGGTAGTAAAAATATGAGCACACAAATGCCAACATGCATGTGTCCTCTTCTATAAGCAAGAAAAACAGACACTAGAAACAGCTGCTGAGCTGAGAATGAGCAATGCTGAGAATGACCCCAAACACTGCTGGGTAGCATCTAACAGAGCTATAGAATTTGACCTGGTTTATAGCAAATGGTATTACAATAAAGCTCCATGATTTAAAGGCTACTTTTCTTCCTCAGGTTATCTATGAACCTCTGAGGGACAATCTCCTGCCTTAAAACATGTTGCCCTGTAAGAAGTGTCCATTTACAGTGCTATTACTTGGATTGCACAGCTTTTTCTGCTAAATGGATAGATGAGCTTTAGTCCAACCAGTGAAAGTTTTATGTTCACTTTGATAATTTCTCTGGGTTGCTAATGGTGGAAAAAACAGTTTACCCCTGCCTCTGCAATGTTGGGTGCGGTAAACACCCAAAAGTACGAGGTATGTGTAACTAATAAGACAAACTCAGTACTAGGGCAAAAGTGTCATTGCCTTTTTTCTCTGTATTCCAAGTGGGGAGAGATAGTGCTCCTGGCTGGCCCATCCACGTATCTGTTGCCAGCATGATGGGCATTTTCCCTCTTAGCATTTAGTCCACAATGGAACTTGCTTCCCAATTGAATATTCCTATAAATTGGGCACTTTCCGTGCATTAAAGCAATATAAATGTAACTTCTTTGGAGTCCAATAATTGCATTTTATCAAGAACCACCCTGCCTAATAAAAGTAAAAATCTAAGGCTAAAAGAGGCCTGAGAGAAAGCTTACCTTCCACGTGGCTGCATTGCGTCGGAAGTAAGCAAACATTCGTGTGAACCAGTTATAGATTTCATTTAGTGTTAGCTGCTTTTCTGGAGATTCAAGAATGGCCTGTAAATAAAAAAGCATCAAGAACATAAATTATGACCTATTCAGCCGAATCGTCATTATACCATTTCTTAAAAATATATGTGTTTCAGAGCTAAATCCTAAGAAAGGTCTCACAAAATGATCTAAGATTAATCGTTGCATTTAACAGTTCAATAGCAAAACTCAAAATGAAATTATCTAATTGTTTTGAGTTTTTATTTCTGTTTCCATACAGAAATATTAATTTATTAGTCATTCATAAAGCAGAATCAAAGAGAAATGCAAAACATTTCACTAGCTGATTAAAGCTCAGTAATTATTTAGAGCTCAGATTAATTCTAGGGATCAGAGATTACTGTAGCTTGTGATAATTGACTTGCCATCTTTAAACAGGCTCATTTTCACTGTTGTGTGAAATGAATTTCCTAATAATCACATCGTATTGTAATACTTAATCAAAAGCAATTATGTTATATATTGCAGTTTTTAAAAACCTTATAGAAAAGGTTTTAACATGCTTGCATACTAAACGGTTTTAAATCTATTTCATCAATATAATATATCCTTGTATCCGTACACCTTTTGCTATGATTTCACATACTGTGTTATTTACTTACCTGTCTAATTAAAGATGCATATGTAAATGGTGGTCTAACTTCTGCATTCTTATAAAATTCTTGGTTCTGCGCAATATCTGCTAAATAAGAATCATTGTCCTATTAATTATCACTCTTTAAAAAGGGGGCTGATGGACAACAATTGCATGTTACAGTTCTACAGGAGGCAAAAATGAAGCAGCTACCTGAAGAAATGGGCACGTTGTATTTGTCTGAGTACCGCCTGCGGATGGGTCCCACCGTGTGCATGCTGGTGGTGGTGATGACAGAGGGGCCTTGGGTGACGGGAGTCAGGGGGGCAGTTGGGGTTGTTGGAGTATGAGGTAAGCTCTGTGGAGAAGCCTCTGATGCGGACTTGGAGAGTGTGACACTTGATACCAGATTGAGCTGTGAGGAAAAGAACAAGGTTTAGAAGATCTTCAGAGAAACAGAGCAACCAAGAAAGCATCTCACATCCAGCAGGCATGATACCGAGGATGTCTGGCTAGTGTCATTTCTCTCAGTAGACGTGTTTATAAACGATTCACTTAGGTTTGGTGTAAGCTATCTCTTGCAATGCTCTCTCTCTTTTTTCCATGAGATAGGTATTTTCCAAAGACTGCCAAATTGATGTTTACAGATGTTAAAAGGGATTATCCAGCAGAATGAGTTTGAGAATTCTGGGTCAAGACATTTCTCTAATCACACCCCACTTTAATAACCTCAGACTCCTCAGCAGCACCAGGGAGGAAAGATGCTGGAGTGAAGACTATGTGAGATACCAAGGCGTAAACCTGAGCTGTTCAAAAAAATTTCTGCAATGTGCTAGCCCAACTGAGAAGTTCTGTTTATTCACTTTTTCTAAAAATTAGTTTCTGTTTAATTTTCATGGATTTTACTTTAAATGGCCCTATGTGACTAGGAGCTGCCATGTTGGCCAGCAGGAGCAGCAGCATGGGTTCCTCAGTTCCATCATGAAACTTCACAGATGTGGGATGCTCCGTGAATGTCTGGCCTAGGCTCATACTGAAGACTGGCCCTCCGCCAGGAAACCATCATTTATTTCTATCAGTTGGCAGAGGCTAATCTTTAAAAGCTTTATGGGCAATGGCTATTAAACTCTATCAAATAAAGGACTAGCATCTATTAATCTAAAAAGAACATAGCCTCTGAGAGATTCAGAACTTTAAGATTTCTGTTGATATTTTTCTTTCAAGTTTTAAACGTTCCATGAAAATGAAACAATCTACCGATTCAAGTAAGGAAGTGAATTATTATTTATTTGAAATAACACAGGGGAAAATGAATGAGTGCCTTTCTGATTTACGTATGTCTTACCTTCACCTTAGAGTGCTAGTCTTACAAATACTAGAAGGGACAATCCTTTCTCAAAATTTATTGGAACCGAATTACTATTCTACAAGTTCAGCAATGAAAAGCTTGGTTCTTTCTAGCATATTTATTACCATTTACAAAATTGCTCAGACACAGATAAAAACCTTCCCTCAATCCAACAGACTTAAACAATCTTGGTTGAACACTTTCTCAAACCAGGTTTCAACTCATTCACCAAGTAATACGTCTCTTTCATAGTAGTTACAGTCAATCTTTAGCACGAGGCATTATTTGTGAAAAGTACTGAAAAGGAGAGTCTTATGGTACCCTAAAAGCACACAATAAAAGAGAGTTCTGATATGTTAAGAAGACACAATCTTTACTCACACTCTATGAGAAAGGCCAAGAAAATCCTGCCTGATACGTTCAGAGGAATTCCAAGGAATGAAAAGAAAGATCCCCTACGGCTTAAGAAAAATGGAAACCTGGAGTCCAGTGCTGGGCTGAGTAGTTAGTTGTGCTCTTTCAATTCTCAGCTTGAAGGTTGACTCAGCAAACCACAGAGCCCCGCCCTGACCCAAAAGCTGGAGAAGAAGCCACTGAAATAGCACAACTCTTACTGCCCCCTCCACCCCCCAGCAAGTCAGAAGATATGGTGAGCAGCCATCTCAACTCACCAGAAAACCTGACCTCGTGAACACATTTGCAAACCTCGTGCTAACAGTTTACCACAGCAGCCGAGAGGTCAAATGGTGAAAAGTTGGGGCTGACCCTTCCTTGTCTCAGGCCTTAATCACTGACCAGGTCCAGAGACAGACTGTATTAGCATCTGCTGGAGCAGAGGGTCAAGGAAGTTAGTGCATAGAGCTCATAAATACAGTTTTTATAATTCAGATGCTGCTGAGCTAAAGACTATCAGAACATTTCAGAAAGCTTCATGGCAAAGATTTACAAAAATGTTTTTAAAACACCTGCCCCTGTATGGCCTCAATGATCAACCCACCCTCACTACTATATGAGATGTTACCATATTTTACAGAGAAGGAAAACCGAGGCTTGTCCATGTATTCAACTTGGACCAAAACTCAACACATCTACAAATAGGATCCTAGACCCTCTGTGTAATTCCCTTACTTCTAGTTAATGGGAAAAATAAATGCTAGTTTCACTGTTCTGTTATGATCATTTTGTAAAAGGTTCAGTGTGTACCTTTTAACCCTGTTTATAAATGACATTCAATAAACACTCCTAAGTAGCCATAGGTTGCTAGTCCTGTAATGACAAAAACAGGAATAAAATGCACAACTGCCCATCTTCAGTGCTTACCATTTGAAAGCACATATTGGCTAAAGGCAAACATACACACAAACCACACAGTTCTGGGGAAGGAGTCTACTTCTTTTCAGCTAAAGACCATCACCCTAAAAACACAGCACAACTTTCTTAAAAACATAACAAAAATGATGGACACAAATGTCCTTAAGATATTTTAGGAGACATGTTCCTTTCCCATTTTGTGGGGAAGATCACCAAGTCAAACTGAGTTCTAATTCAGTTGTCACAAGTAAAACTCATGTACACTTTCAAGCCCCTCTCTCTTTTTGGCTGCTCACACCTAACAGACCAGTTCCACACCTAATAGACCAGTCACCAAATGCAAAAGGATCTGAACCTTGCAGACCCTGCCAGGATTCTAATACTTTTACCATTTCTACTAGTGAAGACGACAAGGAAAAATACTATCCATCCAGGTTTGCACAATCCACGAAAAAAGAGATGCCGGACAAATTTCCTGGATGCTTTTGAATACAGGTAGCAAGTAGAAATAAACATGGTACCAGAAGAGAGCAGAGAGGGGGTTTAGCAGCCTTGACAAATGACACTACGATTCGCACCCACTGCTAGGCTGTCTCTAATAAGCCACAGAGGAAGCAGCGAATCTCAGCTAATTACCAGATAAAAATGTATTGTAAGGACTCTAATTAGGAGACGCGGATGGAGGTGATCTAATGATTAAATGCTGCATTTGAGTGACCCCACCATCAGTGTGCAGTGGTGCAAGATGTCACTGGAATATTTTGTAGAAACAGTAATTTTATTTCAAGAAGGGGAGGTAGTAATATTTGTAATGATGGCTATGAGGTAAACTAATTAGAAGACAGTTGCTAGAGGAAGAGGGTGGCTGAGAGCAGCTGTGGCCATTCCAAAAGCAAGTGCCAAGTCTCTATAGAGGAGCTGCAGTCAAGTGGAAAATTTCTGTCTGACCTCTGCCCTTGCTATTAATTTGCAGGAAAACTAATGACACATATACATATTCCCACAAAATTGTTCTAATTGCTAATTTGCCAAAGGAGCCCAGATTCCAAATTAAACATGACTACAGTCTGTGAGGGAAGGAAGAACAAAAGCTGTAAACTCCAAATAGACGGTGCTTTGTCACACAAAATCATCTGAAGGCTGAACCAACAAGTTAATGAAATGTCAACCCTGTCAGCTGTTATAGAAGTTTCTTAACTTTTAAACTTTTGTCTGATAATCACGTGCTTGTCATGAGGAGAAACCATCCTGGCAAAGGAGAGAAAAGATGGAAAGTGAGGAAGGATACAAAATAGGCTCCGTTCAATCCAAACCAACTCTTTCAATTAAGGTCTTTATGAAAAAAAAGCGGACCACAAAAAAATTAACCACAGATAACAGAAGTGCAAATCAGGAACAATGTGGATTCTGCTATAAACTTGAAATATTCATCTTAATTGTAAATTATTAAATCTTAATATAATCATCAATTAGAAATGAAAGCATCATGTTTCTGACTGTAGTTAAGGTTTTTAAAAAAAGTAATTTTTTTCCGGGGCATGGAGCAGGAAGGGATTGGGATGGGAGGGTTTCTTTTCCTAATGGAAAGTCCATTTTTCTTATTGTGTTCATTTTCTATTTAAAAAGAAGTTGCTATGTTTAGAAAAGTTAGTAACTCTGATTATTTTTTACATGGCAAGTTTCCATCATGTGATGATTTCGGCAAAGATATCTCTTTGAAACTCTGGCCAAAAGTTAAATTCTTATGTCACTTAATATTGCTGTATAGTTTTTAAAATAAAAATAAAAACAATCATGCTCTCAGGCACAGTTTTGCCCTTTCTTTGATTAGAGAGAATATCCTGGATGTTTTGCCATCAACATGATTCCAACCCTATCAGCTACCCAATACTGTGCTTAATCCTGTTTTTAAAAAATTTAATCTGTAGCTTTTCACCAACAATTCCTCTCCAGTGTAAAGATGAGTCACTCACATTAAAAAAAACAAAACAAAACAAAACAAATGGCTGATGTAAACCTCAGACAGAAACAGCCTTGTTGTGAGTATTCCCATAAGAACCAGTCTTTTGTTTTTGTTTGTGCTCTTGCCTCACATGAAAACAGATTATGAGAACAAAAGACAAACCTGAAACCAAAACACTAAAGCCAAGGCTGCATAGTAGGAACTTTCAGGCTCACAGAACCGGTTTTTCTACTGGTAGCTTTACTGACCCAAGAGGCTCAGGTCTGCTCAGCTAAGGCAGAATTGCAGAGGGCCCGGGAGCTGCATTTCAAGGCATGAATCCCTGAGTTCAGAGATGACAGTGGTGGAGACTATGGAGAAGACAGGACAGTAGGCAGCAGCTGGAGGCTTTTGTTAGGAGCCTTTGCTTTCCTTCCCAGTTTCAGCCTGGCCTAGAGGCTCAGAAAGCCGCACTAACAACAAAAAACAGCCACACTGACATCAGAAACAATAAAACCTGAGGTGAGGTGAGAAGTGGTGACTTAACGAAAAACAGTCCATGACACACTTTTCGTGTGTTGCACTTGAGGATCCTTTTTTATGATGTCCTGATATTATTTCTCCAACTCTACAGCAAGGCCCCAGCAGCCTACATCATCTGTCATTTCTAGAAGAGTTAACAGGCCCTTTTTTTTGGGGGGGGGGCACTTTGTTTTTCTAGTAGCTAAAAGCTATTTCAAAACAGTCCTAATTGCCATGGTTAGAGTACCAGAAAATGTGTAAAAACGAAAATCTAAATACTGCATTTCATTCCAAATGTGCTTTATGATATTTTCATAAAGAAGGCTCTGGTACCTACACTATAATTACTTGCCCATCAAATCTGAAAGAATGTGGTTTCTCTGAGATTAGGAGTGGTTCTCTGATGTGCAGGAGTACCCCAAAGCCAAGCAAACTTCTCATGTTCTCATGCATTGTAAAACAGGTTTTACAATCTTCTCCTGACACCACCACGGTGAAAAGTCTTTAAATGTAATCCTTAACAACGTAATGAAGTCCTAACAGCTATGTTTCTTGTTGTTTTGTCCTCTTGAGTTTTGCCTCCTCTTCCCAGGAAACACCTTGGCAAGTCCACTTTAGGCTGAGCACAGGCCACAGTAACCTCCAAGCACTGCGCTGCACGTAGTGCTGTCTACTTTTGAGACTCTTACTGCAGTTGAGACAAAAGGTTATCAGTCATTTTCATTACTGTTTTCTTGGGTTTTTTTTTTCCTTTCTTTTGCTTCATTTTCTATCAGAAAGAATCTTTTAAAACTTAAAGATACCAAGTTGGCCATGCTAAGCCTAAATCAAGAATAGTGTTTCTACTCTAAGTACCCAACTTAACAGCTGTCCTGGTAAGTTTCACAGATGCTTTCCATGCAGGGCTCAAAGCCTTAAACACTAAACACAGTAAAGTAAGAAAAGTTTCCCTCACTTAGGTGATGCTGGCTCTTCCTTTTCTTCTGCCACACTAATTCTCATTACCCTCTTTTCTGCCCCAGCTCCCATCCTCAAAGACACCACGACAGGTGCACCCACTCACCATCACAGGGCAGATCTAAGAAGCTGGTTTCTTACCACTTCTTCCTATTTACACTTTAGATTACAGCAGAAACATTATTTCTCCAAAAAAAGTCCTCTTCGACCCCATTTTCCAGCTCATTAACCCCGCTCACATGCCGTACAATCCAGGCCTTGGTAGTGTGTAAATGTAGTTATTTGTTAGCTTCCTTCACAAGATTCCAAATACCTCACTGGCAAAGACAAGCCTTTCTCATCGAACTACTTATTGTTAAGTATATCACATGTCCAATAAACACTGCTGACAGAATATAGTAGCACCTTGGTTCACGAATTTAATTCACTCCAGGATTCTGGAAAAGATGGCTATGTTCATATTCGTGTGGGAAAGAAGGCCATCATCATGTTCCTCTCCTGATGCAGTTGGTAAAAAAAAAAAACAAAAAGCAAAAAAACAAACTTTTGCCAAACATCTTTGCTTGTGAACCAAATTATTTGCAAACATGCAAATCAAATTATTTGCAAACATGTTCATGAACCAAGGTACCACTGAAACAACTTGCACTTTGAGACCTAGGTATAATTCTGAGAGGGCATAGCAGCAGCAGGAACGTATTACTGAGGGAGCTGGAGGGACACAGGAAGACTGGAAACTGTTGTTCTAGTGGGGCCCATGTTTGCTTCCCATGTGCAACAAGCTCAGATCAACACCTACAATCTGGGACATTGCCCTTTTAAACTATTCATATCTGAAGATGAGCTCTACACTGAGATCCAGAAAATACAGCTCAGAGCTGATGTAAGAACAATCCAAGAACGTGTTGGCAGTTTCTTTGATGCAATGAAGTGGAGATGAGTTGGACAACTGGATACAACAAATGACACTTACTACCCAAATGGCATTTAGTGAAGGGCAACATTTACAGCAGTGTTTTATCACTTAGTGACTAAGAATTTTTAAATAAACACAAAGTTCCTCTTAAACAGAAATGGAAAAAGGAAACAACTTCATAAACTTACTGGAAAGGTTGTAACACTAAACTCCCCATCTATGGTTAGATTTGAATCTCAGTGACTGCTTGATTCAAATTTGATTCCAGAAGAATATTCAAGCAAACATTCTATCAGTTCTAAGGCATTCTATCAGTTAGGGTGGGATAAATCAATTTAAGGCTATAGGAAATGTTTTGTACATTAGAATCAGTCACCAGATAGTTCTGGGTCCTTAAAATTGAAAGCATCAAGGGTTTGCAGTTCATATGTGCCTTTTCTTTCTCTCTCTCACTATTTTTTTCTTGGCAAGAAAGTGAAAATTTATGCAAAACATTTCACGTCTATCTTTTATAATTAATTTCCCAATGCCTCACCTATACATATTTTAATAATTCCTGATTTATAAGATGGTATCTATAATAAAATTTTCTATTTTCCAATAAATGAAAAGAAGGCAGGTTCATTCCGACAACAGAGTGTCACACAATATCTGCTTGTCAGGCACCAATTTTTACTTCTTACATGTAAGTTAAAGGATAAGGAATTTATAATGCTGCCTGTGAAGGGAACCACTTTTCATATACAAATGTGATCTTTTTTTTTCAAAGGGTAATACAACAGTACATTTACATAAACTAATCCAAACAATCTATGTATTTGACAATGGCAAACCTCACACAGACGGCCTATTGTTGGTTTACATCTTGGAGTTCTTTATATTGGCTTGTAGCGCTGCTCTAGCTGTCAAAGGTTTGACTTGGACTCTAAATAAATGGTTATAGAAGTGCTGTGCAGCGATATTGGACTTCTTTGCAAAAGAAAACCTGCTGTGTATGAATTCAAAAGCTATTAATTTTTCAGTCAAAAATATTCGTGCCTATTTCTTTTAATAAAGAAATACTGTGCTGAGCTACTAAGAGATAATGTTGACTAGTGGTGGAGAATTTTCAATAGAACAGTTAAAAATAAATTTAGTAGGAGGTCCCCTTCAAAGTTATAATTTTCTAGAACGTAAAACATTTTTTTATACTAATCAAGACAAACCTTCCTGCCCTGTTTGTTCTTCCCCAGCTACTTTTCCTGTTTACTGGTTGCTTAGCCCTGGTCCACAAGGACATTTGGCAATGGCCCTCTTGTAACCTGGGTATGGCGCTGCCAGCCAACACCCAGGCCTCTTGCTACCTGGGCACTCCTGGAGGTTTGCTGTTCCATTTCTTCAGATGTATCCTTCCTCTTACCAAGGAGGACTATGATATAAAATGAGCCTATTAGTAGAGTGCTGAGGCCAGTAGTGACTCTATCATGGTTGTTCTTTATCCATCAAGAAACAGGAGATAACCTCGCCCTCTCCTTCAATCCTAGGAGTAAAGGCTCAAACTTCATCCTAGGAAAAAGTTTCACTAAAGTCAGCTGAGGACCTGAGGAGTTTCAATGCACTTGAGAGCCCTTTGGGGCAAACGACGCTATTCCGTAAGACAGCCAACTCATCAGGGTCTCACCAATAGGCTTTGTTGAATTCATGTTTTTCCAGGTACCTTCTTTAAAAGCAGTTGGAAAGAAAAGCATTGTTGATGACTGACTCCACAATACTGAATGGCTTGGGTTTTTTTTTGTTTTCCTCCTTTCTTTTTGGTAGCCTACTAATTCAGTCTCAACAGCCATTTACTGTGAAATACATGGAAACTAAGAACTGTTTCCTAGTAAAATGGATGCGTGAAGTGTTTAATGATTTTATGTCCTATATCTCAGTAATGTGTTCTGTTTCAGACATTAATTTTGTCTGCCAACTGCATCTTGGCAGGCTACCATATTTGCTGGGTTAATAGTCTGACTCCGTTTTATTTCTATCATCATAAATCATACATATATGGGTGTGTGTTTGCTTTATTTATGGAAAAAATCAGTCAAAACAGATAAACCAATACTTTGCTATTATGCTGCATCATTGCATATTGATTAAAATTGCTGGTACTAACTATAAATTGTCAACGCTCAATTAATTTTCACACAGTGACTTTCAGCAAAATCAAATAAAGGCAGTGTACCTTTAAATTTTACAAATCTTAAAATCAAGGAGCAAAGCACTGTCTCCATTTTGAATAACCAGTTTAAGTACTATGAAATTTTTAGAAATAGAAGCATGAGCAATACAATGGCAAAAGGGATCAATTCATGACAAGGAGTGAGGTCTAAAGCAGCACTGAGGGTCTAGATGCCCAATCCTCTGCTTCGCTATGAATTGTCTGTGCTGGGATGGCATATCTCAAAGTCCAGCAAAAGGAAACAAGGCAAGAAACAGGAGATTCTCTAAAAATAAAAGGTAATCTCAATGTGTCATACATATTTGGTTCCCTGACTGTAAAGGAGCAATTTTTCATCTCAAAGTCCATAGGAACCACGAGATAGTCCCATAATTTAGCCTCTCACACTTTTACTGGTGTTTTCCTTCTTCGGCCTGTTACAGTGAAGTGGGACTTCTCCTTGCTCCTTTTCCCTTATAACACTGTTTCTAAGCCTGCCCAGGGCAAAATGCTGCTTTCCTCTGTTAACATGGTCTGGCCACCTTCTCTGCATTCCTGCCAGAGTGATTTCCTTTCTCCAGAGAGCTCCCACAAAACACTTTAGTACCTTCATTTAACACCATTCTGTTTCAAAGAAGAGCTGCTTCTTAGGTCTCATGGTGAGCCTCACATATGAATCATACTGTGTCCCCACAAATGCCTGGCACACTGAAATGGTTAATGAAACTGAAGGCCTCTGACATTTATTCCAGCCAAAGGAGCTGTCCCTTCTTCCTACGCTGGGACACGGCAGCATAAACGAATAGCACAAATTTTACACTGTTTTTTGCTACTTGGTGGAGCATTACTTACGGGCTGAGGGGCAGCTTTGGGTTCTGTGGACTTCACATGCAGATGGGTCATCATGGCTTGCAGCCGTTCTTTGTCTTTTGCAAGCTAGCAGGAAGAAAAGGCTTGGTTATTTTTTTGAATACAGATACAGACTGTTTTAAAGCTTCACATTAGACATATTCCAAACAACTATGCCACCACGGCACATGACAGAATCATTTTCACTGCCTGTTTCTGAAATCTATAGGTCTATAGCCAAACTCCAAGTAACTGGAGGAGGCATTGTAATTTTCTCAACTCAAGATGTATTAGATTTTTACTGGGATATTCTAGACCTGCTGGCACCAAGAAGCCCCATGGAACATGGACAGCTAAAGACAAATATGAATCATGCTTATTAACCATTCTTATTCACAAGGAAGCCAAAGGAAAATGAGGTAGGCAGCTAAAACTCATAAATTTATCTGTTGTGGTTGTGGAGGAACTCCTAGACAGATGGATACATCTGTGCAAAATTAGCGTCATCTTATTTATGGTTAAGCATAGATTAAGACAGTGCTGGCAGGTGACACTGACAGAAAGGAAGAGAGAGAGATAAAAGGGCTGATGGTGTCCCATCTTCAAATGAACACAGAATAAGTTTATTCATTTATTCAATATTTGAGGACATGCTGTGTGCTAGTCTGATACTAATAATTTACATATCTTTATAAAATTATCTTCTTATGTCACAGATAAGTCTACTAGATGTGCACAGCAGGCACTCACTACTTATTGGATAGTGTAGTCTTTCTGCTTGCTTTGGACTGCTTAACATGATGACAATCTTGGTAATTCAGGACAGGTAGGCATAGGCGACATATGACTTCTGTAAAAGATGTGGAAAATGTATCCACAGAAGATACAGATACATTTAAGAAAGCATCTATGGGATTGAGAGGAAAATGAAGATGACATTAATGAAACAGAACATGCAAATCATTGACTATAGATAGTTTTATTTCAGTACTTTTGGAGAATATTTTCTTAGGGAGAGACTTACTATGTGTCACATCATTCACCTTAAGTCTTTTAAAAAGCAATTTTTGGAGGTGTAAAATTATCCCAGAACCAAACATGCTTTGCTTTTTGATAAGTTATTTTTTAGGGTGAAAAGGACTCAAGAATTGGGAGGAAGGAAAAAAAAAAAAAAAAAGGGAAAGGGACAAAAAGAGAAAAAGCTTCCAGCTTATCCTAACTGGATGACTCAGACTCAAGTCATATCACATTGAATTTTTTTAAATTTCTTTTTATTCCCTTGTGGTTCAGGGAGGAATAAATTAAGAAGAAAAAAGCCTCACAGTGTTAGCATTTATCTTTCAACAAACAGGAAATGAAAATGATACCATATTAGGAGCCACTTTATGTTCTCTGCTAAGTTATTGAACAGCCAAACTAAAAGATACTCTGAGTACATAATGCTAAAGGAATTTAGTTTTGCAAAGTGGCTCCCTTAGAACAATTAAAATGTTGGGAATGACATTTTTCTACAGTTACTCATTTTTATGTTCTTTAAGTTTCTTTAAGTGTTCTTCAAGTTTTTTGATGTTAAAATCAAAATATTCTTGGATTTTAAAAAAGTTTGGCTTTAAAATTGTCACGGAGTAGATAGAATTACAGCATATAGGTTGCTCTTTTAAAAAACAAGAAGTAGCCTGCCCTGCTGAACAATATAAATTAAAGGGTGAGAGGTGTCATTTACTGAAGAGTCTGCTGAATATTAACTATGACTTAATTTGGGGGTAAACACTGTGGATGTAGCAATTACAGAGACCAAGTTTAGTAAAAGGAAAATCCAAATTCCCAGCTCTATATTTCATCTATCATGGAATCATCTCTGTATCTGATCAAGCATCTGGTCCAAGGCAGTTAACACTTTGTTGTAAACACACCTACAAAGTGTATACATAACCCTGAAGGTAAGAGCCACCTAGAATATTTTCTTACATTTCCATTACTTAAAATTCATCATCCATTTTGAAGACTCAGAGAACTCAACTTTACCACCCTAGTTTTGCCTTTATTGAGGCAGATAAAATTCCATACAGATGCAAAAATCCAACTTTTGTATTCTTTAGCTGATGCAAACTGACATGTAATGTATTTCTGGATGAGTTTTAGGTAATCAATTTTAGCCCTAACGCAATTGTTTTAACAACTAAAGAAACATGCCAGATTCACTGTATTTTAGGTAAAGGAGAAACATCTACAAATTTTAAAACTATACCTTCTTAGATGTCAGTCTTGTATCTCTAGCACTCACTGGTCTTTCAGAAAGCTTTCCTTTATTACTTTTTTTTTCCTTTATTACTTTTTAATGCTGTTGTTTCATGAGCTCACCATCCCCATCAATTTTTTCAGCATCCTTTCATTATTATAATGAGAATACAAACACATTTGTATTAGCAAGTATATTCCACCATTCCCTTCTAAACTGTACATTACACAAAAAAAGAACAAAGGTCAACAAAAAGTTTGGTTGACAAACAAATTTTTTTAAGATGTTGTGATAGCAAAAGAATTACTCTCTAAAAGCTTTCCCACAGAGCATGGAATAAATATATGCCATACAGGAACTGACAATGGGCTACACATTGGGGGTTATGAGCACAGGGGCTATTGTACACCAAGTCATTGAAAGCCCAGCTGACTGATAATAAAGAATGCATGTTCAACATTTACACTGTTCTGGGTTCAAATTCTGGCTGGGTGACCTAAGTATTTCCTATGCTCTTCCCTGTACTTACTTTTTCTTGCTAATTAAGGAATAATCATCTCTGAACTCTGAAGGATTGTTCTGAAGATGAGCTAAGTTCTTGCACAGAAGAGGCCCAACACAGCAACCAGGGCTTCATGTATGCTCGAAAATTTACTTTCTTTTATAAAAGAGATGTGTAATCAGTCTAGTCTACACTGATTGAGTGTATGTTTACAGTGTGGATTAATATTACAGGGATTCAATGGAGTGTGCAGTTGAGGTAACTGGAAAGAGAAATAATTTTGCGAAAAGCAAACTGAACAGAAAACGTAAGACAGAGTAAGACTACTTTTTGTAGATTTACCTCTTTGCTTCTATTTCTTCTTTTCATTCTAGGAAAATGTTTTCCCCTCTTTACCTGGTGTAAGTCACTGCTTCTTCTATTAGCCATGGTTTTAATTAGGTTTTAAGATTGTCTAGGCTGTTGAAGTTGGGATCTTATGTATTGCTTCAGACCCCATGATGACTGCTGAAGGCTAGGAGCTCCATCTAACATCATCAGAGATAGAAACTCTGGAGATTATAACTCATTCTTTTAGCAGAGAAAAGGAAACATGACTTAACACCTTTACTCTACAAGTTTGTCAGAAAGACTAGCCATTTTAAGCCCAATCTGGCCAATTCTCCCTCATGAAAAACAAAACTCTGCTGAAAATAAACAAAAGGTTTTGCATGAAAAATGCTACAATTATTAAGAACACATACAAAGATGGACCAAACCTTCATTTTGCTGAAGATGTTGTGGCTTAGTCCCATAGCACTAATCTCATGTTTTATTGTTGGGAAAATTGAGGCTCCTAAGACTAATATATCTGAGGTCGTGGAGTTGAGAAAAGGCAGAGAGAAGCCTAGGATCCTTATATGATGCTTTTCAACAATGACTATATGGATTATAGGGATTACCTGGTATAACAACCATGAAACTCAGACTTTGTCTCTCCCCCTCATCCCAACATGGATGGACCTACTGAGGCAGGGCCTCTGTGGAGGAGCCAGGATTTTAACAGGGCCCATGTTATGAGCAGGCAAGTCTGGATAATTCTGGTGCCATGATAATCCCCGTTAAAATGAAGACTTATGGGCTGGGGATTTAGCTTACTGGCATAAGCACCTGTCTGGGAAGTGAGAGGTCCTGAGTTTGATCTCCAGTACAAAACAAAACAAAACATGATGACTTATTTTAATTTTTATAGTAACTCTTCAACAGAGGGATCTAGAAACAGGTGCTTTTAACAATAGAGCCCAAGGGTCCAAGTAGAAGCACGTAAGTTTAGGAGACACTACTCTGTCATGGTCTGTTTATGCCTGGAACAGTGGCTGCTTCCTCAGGACTTTTGTATATAGTGGTTATCCAAACAAGTTAACCTGATTTAGACAGAGTGTGTTCAGTTACTTAGGGTACATTCAGCTACACTGGTCTCTCAAGTGGGTATGATCAGGAGAAGAAAAACACAAAGCAGTAGCTACAGCGAGGAGTACAACCCATTCTTTTACTGAATTGAGCTTTTACCAAACATTTATTCTTCCCCACTTTATTAACCTATGGTAATTCATAACTCTTCCAAACTGAGCACCACTCAAAACTTTTAAAGATTTCTTTACCATCCACTATCGCATTCAGGTGGTAGACAATCTATGGCTCATTTCATCCCAATCAAAGAATTTCTGTACTTTTATTGTGCTGTTACCATCTTAACATTCCTCACATGTTATTATTAAAGACTCTCTTGACATTTAAAGCAGACACACACTAATACTCAGTCATAGTCTAGGAATTCTAATGCTTCTAGAGTTAGGCAGGATTTTAAATTATGAAAAATAAGTGTCTTGGTTTCCAAAAGAGAATGTGGAAGTGAGACACCTAGACACGTTCTCTCTTCTTTTTCTTGGCTCCAGTCACAAAGCACTGGCAACACTAGGCTGCAATGATGCTAGGACCTTGCTGTCCCCAACATGCTCTGAACTTACTCTGAGCTCTGCTCCGAAGCAGGAAGGTCTGTGAGGCCACTGGTGTGACAAAGTGTCCTGAGCATTGTTGTGAATGGGGTTAGAAAGGTCCAATGGGGGATACATTACTGATAATATATTTGCTGAAGTCTACAGAGCTGGTGTGATTACAAATAGCATCGCTAATGGTAGAGTAATCACATACAAAGTCCATGCAGTAATTGATTTGTGTTAGGATTAATGTCTCCCTCTGCTACTGAAACTTGTGCACTTTTCTCCCTACTGACATTTTCTTAGAGCTTACAGTTTCTGCTGTTGATGATTTAGAAAACTTCATGCGGTTCCCAGACACGGGGCTCAA